TGGACTTTAAAGTCCCTTCCAACACAAACTACTCTGGGATTCCAGGATTCTGGGATTCCATGATTCTGTTTGTCAGCACAAGGGTGATGTCCATCCATGATCCATTCCTGGTTGGCACTGTGACTCTGGGTGGGTGTCCTGGCCTCAGGACATGGGAGTGCCAGGTCACTATTTAAAGCTCAAACGTGTGGATTGGGGTTGTTTCTTCCTAGTCTGGCTGCAAACATTCCTGCCAGGCTGCAGCAGCTGCTGGGCACCTGCATCCTGAGTGTGCTTTGATTTGCAGGGAAACACAAACACGTCACTGAGTCGAGGGTGTAGAACTCTTTTTTAAAAATATTATTATAGAGAACTCTTCAACTGGAATATGAAGGATAAAAGGGTAATTTCATACCTGGAACAAAACAATTAAGGAACACTTTCTCTTGTTGATGTTCAGAGCAGTGGGTTTGTGAGTGACCTGCACTGGGAGATCACACAGCCCTTCCACACTGCACAGGGAAATGATCCTGTTCCAGCTGAAAGCAGGCAATCCTCAGGGATCTTTCTTTGTTGTTCCCCACCCTGAGCTTTTCTGATACATCCATTAATTTTTGGAATGCAGTCCAGCAGAATATGCCCCAGTAGGAAAAGCTCCCATTTAAAAAACCTGCCAGGAACTTTTATTCCAGTTGTGAGCAGCAGCCTAGGAGGATCTTCTCCTGCAGGGATACAGGGCTGTGCTTTAGCACAGGCTGGGTAACCAGCCCAGCTCAGGCAGCTGAGGGTAACCAGCCCAGCTCTGGGTTCTCCTGAGGGCAGAAGTCCCCTGGCAGCACGTTCCCTTGCCCCTCAGCTGTGGGGGTCTGCAGCTGAGGGCACTGAGCTGCAGTCCTTGTGCTCAGCACGGGGAGCGGGAGGAGGCCAATTCCAGCTGCAGCAGAGATCCATGGCATTCCCTGTGGTGAAACAGGAGCCCAGGGTAACAAACAGCCACCCCTGGAGCGTTGGGCAGGTTGGGAAAGGGCTCCTTCCAGCTCCAGTCCCACATCCCTGGGTGCTTTCCCACCAGGATGTGCCTGTTGTGCACATCCATTGCGATGCTTTGTAGGATGGTGAGATGGTCACAGAGATGTGCCCAAGTGACTCCTCCTGTTCCCACCAGGGTCCATCAGCTGTGTGGAGATGTTGCAGAACTAGCCCTCAGCTGCTTATCCCAGTAATTTCAGGAATTTCCCTGTGCTTTGTCCTCAGTCTTGTTTTCAAGGTTGCAGCACAAAGCAAAAGGAGTTGCCTGATTTGAACTCAAAAAAGATGCTCCTTTATCACTGATGTCCCAGATTGTCAGTGGCAATAGGGTGAGTTTATGCCCTTCTCTCTGGTCCCAGATTCCCTGACCTACTTCCAGTTTTAACCCTTTCAGGAAACCAGTGGCCCAAACTGTTGGTCTTTTCTCTTCACAGCCTTCCTTCAGGAACTCAGGGAGTCCTCCTGGGGCAGGGCTGGAGGGCAGGTTGTGAGTCTGTGCTCTTCATCCCACCACCATGTCCAGTGTTGGTTCGTGGGTGAAAATACCCTCAAATCCAATAGAATATTCTGATTTAGGTGAGGAATGAAAAGTGGATTTAGCAGGAATGCTGCATCCCACAGTTGAGTGAGTTATTTACTCTTCAGGGGACTGAAATATTTTACTGTTGGGCAGCCAAGGGGAAGTAACAGTGCAGAAGTTTAGTTGGGTATGAAATGTCTCCTCTTACACAGCATTGTTGAACTGTTACCCAAATGAAAGCTAACAATGGCCTTCCCCTACTGTTTTCCAAGTGGCCAGTCTCAATCCCTGATTCTGAGCAAATTGGGGGTGTTTTTTGTTTTCAGTGAGTAGATGCAAATATGTTTTGAAGGCAATTAGAGTGTTTTTATTTTTGCTCACAATAAACTGCAAGCACAATAGAATTGCTGGCACGAGGTTGAAGGTTATTTACTAAGATTATATGCCACATGTGATTAATCTCTTCCCCACATTTTAGTCTTTTATTGGCAAAATTTTAAATATCCAGGGGATCTCTACAGAATTCTGTGGGGTCAGATCAAAAGGCTGAAAACGCTGCTCATGGGTGGCTGTGTGTGCAGAACACACTGCCTTAACTAGGTGCTTCTGGCTGCTCTCAGGTAACTGCATCTCCCTCCAGGATTCCCAGCAACAGCAGCTTCCCTGGAATCCTGCAGGTCAGCACATCCCAGGGAAGAGTGCGGCTGTTTAAAGCCATTTTCCCCTGCAGTTCTCTGGCAGCACCACTCTAGAAAGATAACAAATGACAGCAAAGTGCCAAACAGGGCTGCAGGGAACACAAGGCCCATTATGCCCCGGTGGAAAGGAACATGTTAAACGTGGCTTTCCTTCCCCTGCAAGCTGCTGGAGTGCTGCTCTGTCCTCCTCCATGGCCACGTGTCCCCAGCACAGTCCTGTTTGCCAGGCACTGCTTCTGCAGCTGCCCAGATGTGCAGAAGAGCCGGGTGAGAACTCCCAGGGCAGAGCTGGTGTGGGCTGGCTGAGAGTCCCCCAGGGCAGAGCTGGTGTGGGCTGGCTGAGAATCCCCCAGGGCAGAGCTGGTGTGGGCTGTGCCCACCAGCAGGGACAGGTCCTATGAGGGTGCTCTGAGGGCAGGTGGATCCCCACGTGGTTTGGAGCCAAGGATGGGCTGTGGGGACAGGGACTGGAAGAGCAGGGTGGCTGTTCTGGGGGCAGCCCTGTGTGTAGGTCAACTCAGGGTCACTGAGGAACCAACCCCTTGGACCCCAAAACTCAGCAGGATCCAGGCAGAGCCGTGGGCTCTGTGTGATCCTGTGCAAGTGCTGCAGGAAGCTGAGGAGAGGATGGAAGAGGGGCCTTGCTCTGCACCTTCTGACACCTGTTCAGTGGTTGTTTCCCAAAGACAATGTTACAGTGTCAGCCAAGCTGGAAGCCAACATTTTATGGCCAACCTTGCCCTCAGTGTCCTTTTCTCTGGCAAAAGTAGAGTGAATCTTTACTGCAACAGAGATGAATTCCCCGTGCCTGCAGTTTTCAGGTTAGAACAACGCACAGACAAGATGGTAATTATTGCTCTGCTGGAGAAAATGCCAGGAGGAAATTTCCCATTAACATTACAAACAAATACAGGAGGAGGTGATGAATAAATCCTTCCACCCTGTGACTTCTCCGTGATCAAAAGACACTTGTCTGATCCCAACATCTAATTGTCACATGATTAAAAATGTATGAGATCTCATGAACATAGAAAGGACTGTGTAGAGCAGCACAAGGAGTTGATTTAAATGCAGGATTAGCAGCTTCACGTTGAAACACAGGATCAGCAAGGCAGGGGGCCAAGGGATGGACTCGAGTTTTTGCACCAAAGCAACTTATTAGTGAAACTCTGCTGATAATTTTTCACTTTTAGACAAGGGAGAAGAAGTTTGAACTTTTCTGTAAATTTTTTGGGGGGGTCTTGGATATATCTGAGAAGCCAGTGAGTTAAAAACTTCAAAGAGTCCCAAACCCCAGACACATCCACGGTTTGAACAATTAACTTTGACTTACCAGGAATGTATTTGGTCTGTAAAACATGTAAAAACTGCACACTGACAGTGGTCATAAAGTGTAAAAAATACTGTGCTTGTGGCTCAGGGGCCTGGTGTGAGTGTCACCACGTGTTCACCAGCTCCCACCCTGCCGTGACCTGCGTGCAGTCCCTGTGCAGAACTTCCCTGGAGTCAGAAAAGACAACGGACAACAATTCCGTGGGTTCAGCTGTAAATGATGCCTTTATGTTGTACCCAGTGCACACATCACACCCCTGCTCTCTGAGGTTTGCACTTTTACCACAGGAATTCAGTCAGGTACTCAGAATACTGGTTAATTTTCAGCCTGTAAAAAATACAGTTCAGTGCTGGACCCAAATATAACTTCCCTGTTAGTTTTCATCTTAACTTCTGCTGTTAAAGGAATATGAATCCAATTAACTTTTTTTTTTTTGAAGTATATGCCAACTGGTTTGTTTCCATTTGGTAGCACTGAGTTGTTTTTTTGTCCTAACTGATGGTAATGACAGCTAAATGTCAGCTTCATTTTGATCTTAGCTCAGAATATAAACAGAAAAGTAGAAAAAAAGGAAAAGGGCCTGGTACACACTCTTCTCAATTATTTTTGCTGTGTTCCTGATGCCAAACAGTTTGGATTCTGCATGTGACTCTCAGTCCAAAAGCCATACCGAGACATTGCTCTCATTAAATTACTTTCAGTATTTTGCATCTAACGCAGAGAAAACACTGCTATAACATAAATGCATAAAAAACCCAAAACCTGGAACTTTGCTGAAACGTAATTCCATCAAGAAAAACCCCCACAATATTTTTATATAACATTTTGGATATATTTTATGTCAAAACATGATCACCAGTCAAACTAGTGACAGCTAAACCCAATACATTATTGTGACTTCTAAAATAAAAAGAAATCAGAACCAAACTAAATTTATTATAGCTCTGCCTTCATTAAACACCGTGTGTTGGTGATTTAAACACAACAAAACTCTAGTAATTCTTCAAAAGTGTCTACTAAATAGAATAAAAAGAAGAAGAGAACAAATACCATTTAGTCTGTTACATTAGAAAATCGGATGTACATATTCCTATTGCCTGTTAGCTTTGCCTAAGCCTTCAACTACTACAAAAATAATAATAATAATAATAATGATAAAAAAGGGAACTCATTGTTCAAAGTCAAAAACATTCAAATCAGTTGATACAACATTACAGTACAGTCAACTAACATCCTTCAGGGTCTCCTTCTCTCAGGGTCCGAGTCCTCAGACCGGGCTCACAATCCCAGTTCACCGCAGGTCCCAAACTGGGGTTGGCTCGGGAGCTCCTGCACCTCGGGATGGCTCCAGGACAGCCTCTCGTTCCTCTGTCAGCACTGGAGTTAGAACAGCAGTAAGTCGAGCACAAGAACTAAAAAAAAAAAAAAAAAAAAAAAAAAAAAGAAAATAATATAAAATACCGGAGAATTGGAAGGCGGGTGAAGCTGCCATTTGGGTCCGACCGCTGCGATACGCTGTACAAAAAACTCCTGAAATATCCACCTGTCCCTCCGCTCTGCCACGCACCAGCAAAGGCAAAAATACAAAAGTCTTCAACTCGTCGTTTTTGCAGAATAAAGCAAAAAAGTCTTTGTGCTCCTTACTACCAGAAGCAAAATATCCTCTGAGTTACCACATGTAATAGCTTCTGGATGTGTCCACTTGGGTCGGCTTGGTCTCCGCAGAGCCGTCCTTGTCCTTTTCGCTGTCCCCTTCCCAGAGGTTAATAAGGGGAGGGTAGAGCTCGTTCAGGGGGATTGAGGAGGTCTTTTGCATATATTTTTTCAGTGAGTGGTGGTAGTTTTTTCTCTTGAACCTTTTTGCAACATAAACGGAGACGGAGGCGAGGCTGATGACGGCGAACATGGAGCCCATGACGGCCGCCAGGGCCGTGCTGGTCTCCTGGTCGGAGATGTCCAGCGCGAAGGCCGCGTTCTTCGTCGTGACGTTGACGCAGGATCTCTGTGTCTGCTGGTGGATGTTGGACACGGTCAGACACACCTCGTAGTCCGTGGAGGGCTGCAGATGTGTGAGGTTGTACTCGTGGACGTCCACCGGCACCCTGGCGGTGTACGTGATGTGGGGGTTGTCAATCTTCATCGTGGCCGACGACCATTTCAAATTGGAAGTCATGACGTTGGAATTGACCTTCCAGGAGACCAGGATGGAATGTGACTCGGCTTGTTTGACGTAGATTTTCAGGACCTGGGTCCCATCCAGGAGCGTCCCGTTCACCCGGATGGTGGCGACCCTCGTGTCAGCCCCTTCTATGTTCTGAGCAACACAGGTGTATCTCCCGGAGTCTTCCACCTGGATGTTGGAGATTTCCAAGGTGCCCTCGCTGCTCAGCTTGTATTTGTCAGAGAGGCTTTCCACGGTGACTTTATTGCCCAGAGGAGTGACCCAGTAAATTTCTGGCTCCGGTTCTGCCATGGCCCGACAATCCAAGAACACCGTCATGCCGATGTCCAGGTTGAGGTGATTGGGGAAGGTCTCGTGGGAGATCATTGGAAGACACTGTTCGGTGGAATCCTGTATTAGCACTTCCTTCACCTGCTGGCCCCGGTATTCCGGAGGCATGGCACAGAACATGGAGAGGGGCTCCATGAAGCGGATGTTGGTTTTGTTGGAGTTGATCCAGTGGATGACGCAGTCGCACCGGAGGGGGTTGCTGTGGATGCTGATCTCGCGCAGGTTTGGGAGGGACTCCACGGTCTTTTGGTAGACTGCATTCAAGGCATTGTTGTTGAGCATGAGGCTCTCCAGGGCGGGCACGTTGCGGAATGCTGAGCGGTGGATGTAGGACAGCTTGGGGTTGTTGGTGGCCTCCAGCTTTGTGAGCTCGGGCAGGTTGTCCAGCGCGTACCTGTCGACGGAAACCAGTTCTCCCATGTTGTTGATCCCAAGCTCTTTCAATCTGAGCATGTTTTTAAAATCCCCTTCTTGAATTTTATGAATCGGGTTTTTGTTGAGGTCCAGGAATTTTAAATTGGGAACTTTCTCAAGTGCAAGCTGAGGAACTTTTACCAGTTTGTTGTCATAGAAGGAAAGACTTTCAAGACTATCCAAACCTACCAAGGCATTGCCAGGAATGTCTGTGAGGTACATCCCTGCCAGAACCAGACTCCTTAAATTTGAGAGCGGCTTGAAATTCATATCCAGTATTCCAATCACTGGGTTTTCTCCAATCATGAGAATCTCTAGGTTGGGAGTCGAATCAAACCAACGGCTGTCAATGACCTTTAATTTGTTGGAGTTGAGGTGTAATCTCAGCAGATTCTTCAGGCCAGAGAATGCATTTGCAGAGATGCTGCTGATCTGGTTGTGATTTATGTAGAGCTCCTGGAGGTTGCAGAGGTCCTGCAGGCAGTAGTCGGTCATCTCCGTGATCTGGTTCTCCTCCAGGTGCAAAGTGGTGAGTTGGGTGAGATTTGAGAGTCCCACGTCTTTGATGCTTGTGAAGTTGTTTTGTGAAAAATCCAACTCTGTTAAATTAAAGAGCTGCTGGAGCTCGTCTGTGGTCTTTGCAATGTTGTTGCTCTGTAGCAGCAGGACTTGGGTGTCGCTGGAGAGGTTGCTGGGGATCTTTGTCAGTCGGAGGTCGTTGCAGTCGACTGTCGTGGCTTCCCTGTACGTGGACTGTGGTGTGAACCAGGGCCTGATTTCACAGACACAGAGCTGGGGACATTCACTGCTCTGCATGGAAGACTCAGTCAATGAATTCAGTAACAATTCTAGCACCAAGTGGCACACAGTTAAAAGGGCTCTAACCTTTGCCATGCTGGCCAGAGAGGGAGTTCAGCTCCCCAGCTCCCTAAAATCCCAACGGGGGAGAGGCTGATCCCTTATCAGGCAGAAAATGTAAAGCTTGAAGTTTAAGGTGAAAGGCTTGGACATCCAGAAGGTTAAAGATGACTTGCTGAGTTTAGAGAAGAGGAGAAACACACTGAAGACCCTCAGCTGCTCCTCTGTGCTCCACAATCTTCTGCAAATCAGTGTCTGAAGATGTTCCTGAAAACAGATTAGGGTATATGTTATGCTCAGCTCACACACAGTTCATCTATTATTTAGTTTCTTCAAACTTTGAAGAAAAATACCTGAAAACAATCATTATTTCAACACTTTAATCTCTTACACAAATCCCAGTTTGGTATCAGTAAGTTATGCAGGGTTTGGAACTCTCTCCTACTTGGTGTTGTGTGAGAAATATCTCAGTGAATTATCTAAACCTAAAACTCTGGGATACCTTCCTGTTTTACTCTGCATCAGTTGTTTGAGTGGCTTGGGAAGTGCTGAGGGAGGAGGGTGTGCTGGGTCTGAAGGAGTGCTGGAGCACAATCCCATGGGAGTCAGTGCCAGGGCCGGCCCTGAGCTCGGATTTCAGGAATTGAGGCTCAGGAAGCTGTTGGTTTATAAGTTTGAAGCTAAATGCATATGAACTTTGCCAAAATTCATCCCAGTTAATCAAATCAGTTCCAGATAACAGCTTAGATTTAATCCAGCTCAGCACCAAACAATAACAGTAAATTTGATTAAATGAATGTAGTGCCCTTCTTTGAGCTGTTTGTACTGCATTGGGATCATATGGACTGTTCACCACAATTCCTGATTGCTGTGTAAACCACACTTTAATATCTGCTTAGCCTGAGGTTCTTCATGCAAGAGTCCATTTCAATTAACCCACCAGTGCCCAGGTACCTCAGAACATCTGGGGTGTCGAGGGGCTTTAAACACATATTCCAGGAAAATCTCTCAGTAAAATCTTCCTCAATCTCACTTTACTGGGAAATTGCTCTGGTGGTTGCAATTGAGGCTTCTCAAAATAAAGTTTTGTCTTTTTATATAGATAAGACAAACAGGAAGTGTCCAAGGCCAGGCTGCACAGGGCTCAGAGCAACCTGGTCTCCTGGAAGGTATCCCTGCCCATGGGGGTGAAACAAGATGATCCTGCAGGTCCCTTCCAACCCAAAGCACTCTGTGATTCTGGGATACCTGAGAGAACACAACAGTGAGAAACAGTAAAGGCAGAAAGCAGGAAAATGCATCTTTGTCAATTAAAATGCAGTGAAGCCTCAACTGAGTCACAGCCCACAAAAAGCAGTACTATAAAAAATAATAAAACTAAATACAGCTTTTAAAAATAGGTTTAAAATAGTCATTTGGATAGAGGTGACAGGAATGCCATTTATACTACACTCTTCCACATCTGATCTGCATATTAAATAATGAAATGAGTGTTTTATTTCAGATTATGATACAGTGCTGTAGGTAGAACACACCAAACAGCATCTGCACATTTATTTTTGTGCTGTTATTCTGTGGTTGGGCTTTGGGGGAAGAGAGAGAGGAATGGGAGGCAATGACCCTGTGGAATCAGCTTTTCTGAGACCTGAATGAGAGCTGAGAGGGCTTTGCTGGAGAGGGGAAAACAAGTTATAGAACCAACATTCCTTCTCTAGTAACTTCTAACTGATGTAAGAATTGACTGAGACATTGACTGCATTAAAAAATCAAATCCTAATGGGGTGGGAACAGTAGGGATTGTGTTACCAGGGGGTGGTGGAGCCTGGAATCAACCGAGCTGTGCTGACTCTGAGGGATGTTTCCCTCGACAGCAACACATTTGTAGCTGACCTGACCCAGGCAGTTCTAGGAAAAATTGATGAAATCTGGAGTTTAACTGATTTAATTGCAAGACTTTTCAAATGGCAGCATTTGCCAGTTAATAATGCAGAGCTTTCACCCCGGGAGGATCTTGGGCAGGTCTGGGAGGTGCCTCCAGAGTCTCTCCCGGACCTGGTTTCTCAGTGGGTGACGAGAGGGAAGTCTGTGCCTTACACAGCTGAGGGCCCTAATGATGCTTTCCTACTGATTTAGCCCTGCTGTGTCTATATGAATCATATAATACTCTAAAAATCAAACTGCCTGAAAAAGACTTCAAAGGTTCTTTTAAAATATGTCAGAGCATGTCTAGATGGTACAAAAAAAAAAAATCAAATTCGATCCTTTCTTTGTTGAATATTTATATCCTTTTACTTGCACGTTGCAGTTATTGTTCATCCTTGGTAAGAAGGCATTTCTGGGTTTACTGAACAGAGGTCTGGGTTTATGACCACTGCAAATATATGATTTTACAAGTTATAGCAACTCTCTCTCTTCTCCAGCTATTTTCTCCTGCAAATGGATTTAATTTTCTTTAACTGCAAATGTTGTTCAGAATGACCTGCATGTTGTTGTCTCCAGCCTCCCCCAGCCCAGGGCAGCTGGGACGAGCCTATAAATGAAAATCCAGGGTAATGACAGAGTAAATTCCAACCAGCTCCATCAGTGCTGTGCTGGTGTGAGGGGCAGCCCAGGGACCACAGCAGGAGGGACAACCCCAGTCCTGGACCTTTGCTTTAGCTCCTTCTGATGTGTAAAAACCTCATCCCCCACTCTGATCAGAGCTAAAGAGGCAGCAGAGAGGTCACCAAAAGCTGTCCCTCTGCCCCTGGATTGTCAGCTTTCCAGTCTTGCCAGCACTGGCAGAACTGGTCCCAGACACCTCTGCGTGTTTGATGTCTGAGGGAATAAAACAGCACAAGGTTTTTTGCTGGAAGACTGTGGTGCTGGAATGTTGGACTCCTCTCAGGTTCTGAAGTCCTGTCTGGAATTATAATGATGACAGGAAACAGCCTCAGGTTGTGCCAGGGGAGGGTTAGATTGGATATCAGGAAAATTTCTTCACTGAAAACGTTGTCCAGCCCTGGCACAGCTGCCCAGGGAGGTGGTGGAGTCACTAAAACACATGGGGATGTGGCACTGGAGGACAGGGGTTAGTGGAGAGCAGGGTGGTGCTGGTTGATTTGGACTGGGTGATCTGAGAGGTCTTTTCCAACCTTACTGATTCCATGATAATCACATCTTTTCAAACAAAACCCAGACAAGTTACATCTGTAGGAATATTTTTTGTGTGTGTGGATAAGCTGGAGGACAACCAGGCTTTGAAAACAACATCTGACAGTGAGCAGTTCCAAACAGGCACCAGGGAATAATCACCAGCCCATCTGGATAAACCAGGGGTGGCTCCTGGGAAAATGCCTGGCTCCCACTGGAATTGGTGAGGGTGAATGGAGAACAACAGGAACGTTGAAGGCCAGGGAATGTTTCCTAAAGAAACACCAGAAGGGGCAGAGCAGCAGCTCTGGGCTTTCTGGATTAAAGGCAAATATCTGTCCTCTAAATGTCCTCCCTCAGCACAGTCCTAGCACACATCTGGTTGGGTTTTTTTCTGAAAATGGTATTTAATATTAACACGTGGCTGATGGCACTTTTAATTCTGTCTTAAAAATGTCTTTTAAAAACGGTGGGTGAGGAAACTTCCCCTGAACAGGAAGGGGGTGTTAGAGCTCCTTTCAGGAGAGACTGAGTGTGTGAAGGAAATGTTTTAGCATTCTCTGCCTTCCTTCTCATTTGTTAAATTCCTATTTTCTAGTGTTCCAGCCCACAACAGCAGTTGTAACAGCTGGTAACTTGATAGCAGCAGAAATAATGGCTAATTTTATGTGAGAGATACAGAGGAAATTATTTTACTCAGAGCTCAATAAATGCATTTTCCATGGCACCTCCCAGGACCCAGGGCAGTCAGAAACCACATTTCTGTCACCAGCAAACCCACAGCAGCTGACTGGGATATTGGCTTGTCCCTGTTCCTTGGGGACAGAAATGAGCACCATCCCTGTCTCCCATCCTGGAAATGCCATGGGAGGTTTGTCCAAGCATTCCCTTTCCAGCAAGGTTCTGAACACTGAGAATTTGTTTGGCCCAAGATTATGAGGGCGGGTGTCTGGTGATGGAGGAGAAGGTCCTTCCTTGCAGCTTCCCTTGCTGGTGGCTCTGGAAGGGTTTGTCTGTTTGGGTGGGTGATCCAAAGAAAAAGTACATTCCCAAGCCCCCAGAGCAGTGAGAGGAGAATGTGAAGGGACAAGCATGAAACAAACTGTTCATTAGAAGTGTTCAGAGTTAACCTGCCAACTAAAAAGAACAGATAAGAAGCATTTTTGCTTGGTAATAGGAAGACAAAGTGTTGTCACTTCCCTGACAAGTGGATATTAATGGTCACTACTAAACATCGCTGAAAAGAGAAACAATATTGTTTGCACTTGGATATCTGGGTGTCTGCTCTGGAACAGTGATGCTGCCACAGAAACCTTCCCTCTCCTCCCTGAAATGGTTCATTCTTGCAAGATTTCTTTTCTGTTGCAGCAGTGTCACCCAGGTTTTGGTCGGGAGCCATCTGAACTGGATGTGCTGAGGGAAAAGTTGGAGGGATCAGATCCACAAAGAAAATTACCTCGGGCTAAGACAAGCAATTTATTCTGCAGTTGCTGTGAGCCAGGAGCACACACTGATCCCAGTTCCTCCCATCTCTCTACAGAAACATTTTCCCAGATTGAGCCTCCATTGGAGCTAGTCTGTTGGAAAATTGTCTGTGCTAATGTTCTGCTAATGACTCGTGCAGGCTGTGCATTCCCATCCCCAGCCTTTGGGAACTGCTGCCATACCAACACTCCCATCCATCAGCTTGGGAAAACCTGGGCTGCTGCAGCCTGGATCTTTGGGGGAATGCAGGTTAGACAGCCCAGCAGCACCCAGGGCTTGTGCCAGGGGTGAGAACTGGTGGAGCTTCAGGGAGAACCAGGAAAACTGAATTCAGACTGGGATCAACACAAGGTGCTGTTCCAGGCTCTGCTCAGGAGGGCCCAGCAATGGTTCAGGAGGCCACGGGCACAAAGTGATGCCCAGGAAGTTCCACCTGAACATGAGGAAGAACTTCTTTGCTGTGCAGGAACAGGTTACCCAGAGTGTCTGGAGTCTCCTCACTGGGGATATTCCAGAACTATCTGGACACAATCTGGAGCTGTGTGCTCTGGGATGGCCCTGCTGGAGCAGGGAGGTGGGACCAGGTGGAACACGGTGATCCCTTCCAGCCCAACCCATCCTGTGGTTCTGTGGAACGAAGGGCCT